TGATTTCCATATCACAAGAAAAAAGTTCCATTTGAATAAAAGTAATTGAATCTGAATTTAGTTTTTACTTTACAAAAATGAAAATGACTCAGCTTAAAACAACTACTGTGAATTAATTAACGCTTTACCAGACCGACAAAAATTTTAATCTTTAAAAAAGAATGTTAAGGCTCGATTTAAGGACTTAATTGTGTCTGATCTAAGGGGACACCAGGTTGCATATTTTTCTTAAAATTTCTCACCAGAAGTACTTTAATGTAAAAATCAGGGGAGAAACCAGTATCTCGGGGATTAATTACTGATTCAATTTTGTACTTGCTTAATATTAATGATAACAACAATTTTGAGTGCTTTACTATCATAAAAATATGTTTATAGGAAAATTATAAAAATTCATATTAAACTTCTCTTTTATATTTCTGAAATTTTGAAATCCAGTGGGAATTATCGCTATAATTTGAATGCTTAATGTAAAAAAGAAGAATAATTAAATGTTTACCTGCAGATTATTTCCTAACTATGGTAAAAATAATTTTGATCATTTTACCATAATTTCAGTGATTCTAATTATTCTGCTTATTTAAAGAAATTTATATGGTGCATTATGAATTATAAACACTATTTATTGCTAGTCAAAGGCAAATAATTCCAATATTCTTAAATTTAACGTAAATTCGAATACATATTTATATATAGAGAGAAATCAATAGAAGTTAATAAATTTGACTTTTATATTGGCCGAAAATTGTACATATTTCTGAATTAGGGATTTCTGAACACTTTAATTTATTTTTAATTGAATAAAATACAAATTGATTTCATTTTTTAAAACATATCTTAATATAGCATCTTGAGATGAAATAAATGAAATTTCATCGGGAGTTTAAGCCGAATGGAATATTATTTTTATTAAATTAGTCATTCCTCAACATCCAGACTAAAAGTCACTCAGTTTTCACACATCTCAGTCTTTTGCATTCTGCAAAATAGAAAATTGAAAGACAATAATTTGGAGAGGTATGGAGTAAATCTTCCTTAATTGCACGTAACATCAACATTACTCATTTACGACCAAACAGAAATAGCAAAGTTTCAAATCGAATCATCATCCATAAGGGGTACCTCTTAATCACAAATGAATTAAAGCAGGAGATTTTCTTTCGAAAATAGATTTAATCCGAGCTTAATATCAAATACCATTAATGAGAAAATGTTACCAGAAATTGCATTTATGAAACTATTCAGCGTATTAGACTTCTCTTACTTTATAGACTTAATAATTAGTCGAGACAGAGATAATTAATAGCAAACTTTTCAACACTTTTTATTTGTAAATATTCTTTTTTATTTAGGCAATAATCTTCTCCACTTTGAAAACGGAACATCTGGCTCATGTTTAAGCAGTTTTTCTTAAATTTTTTGAACATTTGGTACATTTGAGTTATTGTATCAAAATGCATATTCGGAGGGATTTCATTTTCTAGTGAAAGGCTGAATATTAGTAAGGATGGAATAAAAAATCTCTTCCCGATAAAGTAAAACTAATTATACACTTTAAGGAGCCAAAGAAATTGAGGGAGCTAGGGCAGTTTTTAAGACTCCTTTATCTAACAGATGAATCATATTTTATACTGTAAATTCGTAAGATACATTCAATGAGTATTTAAAACATTTCAAAGTTAGTGATAATATCAAATCACGTGATCTTTTGTAAGGCGTGAAATATTTCAAAATTACAAATGGCAAACTGACATGCATTGAATTTTATTTGCACATTCGTATCATGACACCCAAATATATTTATTTATACATGCACCAACCAAACTAACGGAGGGGTTTAAATCATAGATGACATTTTTTGGGTACTCGCATTTTATTCGGTTAAACTGAAAAAATTTCAGTAAAGATGATCGTCTTACGATTATAATCTAGAAATTAAGTAAAAAAATCTTAAGTAATAAATTCCATCTTAATTGTATGTATTAGTAAATAACCCTAGGTTATTTGAGGTAGGTTCAATGAATACTAGGTTCAATGAATACAGTGTCATAATAAATGTAACGATTAATTTTACTATCATTTAATAGACTAAATACAAGGTTACTGACCTTTTTGCTGATTTGGGGAGGGAGGGATGATTGAGAGACGGTTATGGGTTATGATTGTGTTTCTACTAATTACTTGTGCAAACGATTTGTGAGAAGTCGTAAAGAAAAAAAAACTGCCATGGGGGTGGATTGTCCCGATCATACCCTGTACCATCAGATTTTTAGTTATGGAATCATTCCTTGAAGGAATTATATGCATTTTTCATTGGACTAGACTCATACAGAGTTGTATCAATGCACGGGTGCATTGATACACTGTATCAATGTTTGTTTCACAAGAATTTGTAAGGGATTGTTTTGTTTCTTGTCAGTCCAGGGAAAGCTTAAAAATTACCATTACGACTAAGCCCACTCCCTCAATAGAGTTTTGCCCATTAATTACGTTTTTACAATACTTACTAATAATTTATCATTAATTTGTGCTTTTTCTTGAAATTCTGATCGGTGTTCACCTAGATAGCTAAGGTATTTTGTTTCCATAGATATATTCCTCACAGACATACATTAAATTATAGATCCCAAAAATATTCCTGATGATATGTTGCTTAGAATACAATTGAGTTACTAATTTCCTGAATCATGTATATTTCATTGTTATAGCGAAGGACCGAGGGAATGACGAATAGTTAAAGCTATGTGACGGGCTCACGCATCTTTTCTTTAACATGTCCTTTGGGTTCTTTGGGCCAGAATTAATGACAACTCTTTTCCAACTAAATCCAAGAAGTGAAGGGTGAATGAAAGATGCAAATGAACAAGCATTTAAATATCGGAACTTATAGTAAACGTGATGACAATGTAGGGCAATTTGTGATAGTGGATGGAAATTGGCGGTGATTGATGTCCAATAGAGGAATCGTGTTTCAAGTCTGAATGAGCTTTACGTGACGGTAATTAGAAGCTATAAGTGATTGAATATATGGAATTCAAGTTGAACACAAGTGCATGCAAATAAATACAAGATTGAGCATAAGACTATACTGATGGATTCTTCAAACTGCTATAAGGTAGGATTGACTATTTAATATTAGAATCAAAGATTGAATTAGAATCGAGGTTAGGCGGTTCAGTTATAGATAGTGGTCTGAATTAGATTAAGTTGCTTATTATCTATAGTTATTGTGTGTTGCGTATTTTTCCATCGTTGATTCTCTCACTTTAATTATTATAATTTAATTTGTTAAAGCAGTGCTTCTCAAACTTTCCATACTGGCGCCCCCCTTTTCGATCACAATTTTTATCGCGCCCCCCTTATACATTAATAATGTAATGAATGCAATAATAATGCACTTTGATGCTAAAGCTACAATAGGCAATCTTAATTATAAACCATACAAATTAATAACATAATTTTGAAATTTTGTATACTACTTTTAAGCAAAAATAAATAAATAAAATAATAGGATAGTTATTATGTTATTTTTCTTTTCTCTAATTTTTAAATTGAACATATTGCAAAATCCGGTGGCTGCTTAGAAGACAAAATATAGATATCTGCGAAATATAGGAAAAGAACTTAGAGGGTCAATTTCTAATCATAAGCATTCCTTATAAAAACTTTGCTTTGCAAGACAAGCCCATGGAAGTCGTTAATATTTATTAAACTTGTTCTTAATTTAGTATTAATTAATTAGTTATAAAATACTCCGTGCAACACTGATACATTAAAAGTATACCGGCTGAAGTGCCCGCTCTTTGATCGAGTTAATTTGTAAGAAAATAAAACATTATTGATATAACAGCTGAATTGTAAGGAGAACAAAGCCAAGTGCTGGACAATGTTTACAAAAATGTAAAATGATCTTTTTAACATGGTTGCCCAAATTATAATTAGTTTTAAGTGAATTGTAATTTTAAGCCTCAGAGAATTGGCATTTATAATTGATGTTAAATAATGAACAATAATATAAATTTCCGATGAAGAATAATTGTATTATATTTAATATTTAAAGCGAAAATACTTCAGCATGTTTTAACCCGGGATCAGGCTCGCACTCGATACGCTCGAGCGGGGTTATTGAGTAACCCCAATCCTTTTTTTTATAATTATTTTATTGTACATGATGCAAATCGTGATTCCAGTGAATAATCTAACTAAGAGGAAGTTTACTTACCTACTTTCAAGAACTTTTCAATTTTTCTTTGGTAAGAAATAAACCGTTTTGCCAGAATTAATGATTTAGTAATTCGTGTGTTCCGCGCGACCATTTCCGGGTAAAAATTGTATTTCTTATGATAATATGTATGTTGCTGCTAAAAAAATTGTGTAAAACGTTTTTTTGCATGGAAAAAAGCGCAACAAAGACTAACTGTACCAATAACTTAGAAGGCCATACAGATTACAGCTATAATGTGCAGTATTTCAAAAACAATCAGAGTGATGAATTTTTTATGTTCCTAAATTTCTTCGATTCTGGGATCTGTTTTTTCTCTGAAAGAGTTATATGTTAGGCTTAAAAAGAAAGCGTAGTAAAAAAAATCTCTCATCATGGGATTACAGCAAATCAAATAAAAGTTTTTTTTTATTTGGTTATAGGATCAAAGATAGCTCTAATTAAGTATTGAAGAAGTTTTTATTTTTGATGACTTAATATTGCGTGCCTGTAAATTATATCTGAGTAAAAGTGCATTTTTTATTATGTCTGAAAGTATTTTGTTTTAATTCATTCCAGTAAATTAATTATTTTTAAATATCCTATTTTCGATATGCTCGCGTCCCCCAGGGAGGCGCGCCCCACAGTTTGAGAAACACTGTGTTAAAGGTTTAAGAGGAATATCTTAATAAAATCATATTAATATAATGATTCCTTCTAGTTCTTTCGTTAAGCCTCACCTCTAGCTCACGCTGAGACTCCGAGAGATATTCTCCCAAGGATGGAAACATCACAATGGCGCCCAACGTGGGGTACGAACCCACGACCCCGAGATTGCGAGTCTCATGCTCTACCGACTGAGCAATGCGAAGGAACATCACAGCTAGGTCAGAATCACGATCATATTTGAAACGCATGATCCCACATGCTTTCAAATGCCTTTTTACTATATACAATTGCATACAAAATTAGACATTACACTTAGAAGATGTTTCGAAAAAAATATTTGATGGAATCTATTTTTATCACATAAAGTTGCAAGCACAAGCTATTACCTAATTACTTAATAGTAGCCTTATTTTCATGGAAATTCAAAAATACATGTTTTAAAATGGAATGTCGCATGTCATGTCAATTAATTAAGGTGCGCCCTCACACGCACACACACACACACACGCGCGTGCGTGCACGCTCCCCTCAACCCAACCAATGCACAGCCTTTCAATCCTAATAGAATATTCAACCATGCACATTTGGATTAAGAAGGACCATTTCTTCACGGAAACCTTTTTTTGTCTGTTTATCATGATTAATTCCTTTACACGCTTTATTGATGTTACTTCTTTCCCAACAAGATAGACGATAACAAAAAGATTTTTATACATAATTGCAATGTATAACATTCCTCAAATAATCATTAATGATCAAGGCAATCAATTCAAAGAACATTTATTTTGTTAGCTAATATGCATTGATGCATTATTAAACACATACACATACAGTAATCTATGATCATAGGCAACTAAACTTGAAAATTGATACTTAAGCCTTAAAAGTTTTCCGTAAATCTTGCCTCCCTCAGCAAGACAGTCTGCCGTGAGTTTTTTATGGTCTGTCTTACGTTTTTAAGGAGAAACTAAAATCTTTCAGCTTAATTTATGGATCTAATTTCGTAAGATATTGGATTAAATTAATTTTAAATTAATGTGAATTAAGATACGAAGCTGTGGTTCTCAGGAACGGAGTCTACAGCATCGAGAATTATGACATCGATCATATTTTTCCAGATTGATTTTAGAGTTTTGAATGGGTGCTCGTTAAGAATTTATGTTAATAATCCTTCTGTTTCACATTATCTGAGAGAGAAACATTTGAAAAAAAAATAAAATTAATAAATCTACCATTTCCCACAGCTCATGTTTCCTCGAGAAGTATTACTTTCGCGAATATCTATTTCAAATGACTTATATAAATGTATTTGAAAAGTAAAGAGTAGAACGGTATTATCATGAAATGCATGCTTAAGAAATTCAGAGCCTGGATGTAATAATTTCTAAATATTCTACGATTTAGAAACACTTTACCAGGATATCACGAAATATGAAATTTAGATCGTTATCACAGAGAAAAATCCGTTTTGAGAATATATTTAATGTAAAGTGAAAAAATTCTTTCACAGTATTAAATTAGTTAATTTAATTCTGTGGAAGAATTGTTTTCACTTACGTACTTTTCTGTACTTTTTTGATGTATTGATAAATCCACCCATTTCATAATTTACTTACTTTTCCTTATTAAAAGAGATATATACTAAATCTATTACAATGGGATTTGTGAAACTTTCTTAAAGTTCCTTTATTATGACTGTTACACCTTGTTGCCACGTACGCAGGTTTACAAGAACTTCCCTTTCGCTTTTACAGTTTTAATAATCAAATGTCTCCAATTGACTATTAAGTTTTGTCTCTTTCTTGAACCTTGTTTTTAGTTTTCTTAAATCTTATTTGACTTCACTTGACTTACAGATGTTTGTTTTCGATACCTTTTTCTCACAGTTTGTAGAATATTTGTAATTTAATAAAGCTTGTTCTCTCTTTACGAAATTACGTGCATTATTAATAAAAAGCACATGCAGAATTTTTATTCATGCAAAACAAGATAACTTTCTACAAAAATATAAAAATTCAAAATGAAAAATATTTTAAAGAATTTTAGAAACACCAGCTACTGGGTACACACTTAAAATACCTCTATTATTTTTTGCTCTATATGTAATTTGATAGATTTCTTCAATGTAAGAAGAAAAACCAGGGCTTTGAATTATAGTATTGTTGTTCATCTAATATATATATATATATATATTTGAAACTGAAACAGAAAAGTACTACAGAACATAAGAAAGTGAAATCTAGTAACAGTATGCATTAGTTGAAGTTAATATGGAAAATATTGATACATAAATTGTATACAGTAACAAAATATCTGAAGATATATCGAACCGAAATAAACCGACATTATTTCTTCGATTCATTTTCGGTTTTCTGTTCAGTTTCAGTTCGAAGCTCTGAGAAAAACCTTTGATTGAGAAACTTTCTTATTTATAATCCGAATTTATAGTAAAGTTTGTAATCATTTAACTTTTTGAAAAAATAATTGTGCGTTATAAATCTTCCACTTCATGAATTTTCTATAATCCTTAAAAAATTCATTATTATGTTTAGTGATTTTTTTCGAAATACTTGTCACATGTTATGATGTTTTTCAATTGACTTTTAAAAACGCACACAATGCAATGAATATAGTTATTTTAAGTGATTTTTGCAGAAGTAATTCCACCGTGAGTTTATCATATTTTCAAAAATTTGGTTTATAAAAAGAGTACTATAGATAGCATTAAAGTGGTTAAATGATGATAAACGATTTAATGAATACCGGTTTCTTTAACATAATGCAACTGACATTTCGTTTAAATAAATCTTGAATGAATTCGAACATATTTTATAAAAAATTCGGTAAAGCACATGGTCCTCTTTTCTTTAACCATTACATTTTGTCTATTGATTGTTGTACATAATTGAACTTACTATAGAGCAGGAAATGGATTTTTAATTTAATGTATATTTTTTCTCTCTGACACATTAAATACACAAAAAAGGCATGGTAGTACTGGTCATACCTAAAGGTATTTCATTTAGTGAAATTTAACTGTATTTCATTTAGAGTTGTTCTATACGCATAAGGTTCATGCATTATTTCTATCCATAAGGTAGTTGCTACTTCAATCAACCTTAAAATTATGTGAGAGTTTATGGTTAGTTTCCCTATTTATTTGATGTCTATTTCTCATTTCCAACAAGGCTTTCCAATCATAGGATGAAGTAAATGAAGTGATTTTTACAAAAGATTCCATCTAAGGAAGCATGGTATCAACTCTTTTGTTGAAAGGAATGCACGTCTACCGACAAGGGAAGCAAATCAAGGAAAGCATTCGTGCCGCAGGCAACAATAGAGCAAAAGACAGCATCCTCGAAGCAGACACACTCAGCCTGAATGACAATGTTTTTATTCAATCAATGCATTTTCGAAATGCCAAATAAGAATAAAGAAACAAAACAGCACAGTAAACAAAACAAACTCTGCCAATTCCAACGACAAAGGAGGACGATTTTTCATTCCTTTTTCTGAGGGAAAAATTATGTGATTGATTGTACAATCTGCAATCTATTCGGGAAAAATGTCATGTAGTGTGCAAACAAAAGAGATAAATATTTTCTTTGCTCCTTACATAAATTGGGTGTCTCATTTATTTTATTGCATATTTAGGAGATATATTTAACTTCTTTGTGCAGTTATCATAGCATTTTCGCTGAAAAGGGAATTAATTGCTCTGATTCTTGAGAAGCATTAAGTGTTATGAGGAGCATATTTTTAGAAGAGCTGATTTAGTCATTTTTTCCCCTAAAAGTATTTTTGAATTTATGGACATGACTTTGTCAATAATTATTTTTGTAGGAATATATGGATATGTTTGCTAGAAATTATTAATGTAATGAGATAAATTTATGTAAATAAGTGTTTTTATGTAGATTAACTTCATGCCATAAAATTATTAGGAATTTAATCATCATTTATTCATTATTTATTGAAATTTATATTTTATTTTGATGCACCAGTTTAAAAACTAACGCAAATTTACATCTTGTTTGCTTTGTTATTGATACATCAGTGCAATATTTAGCATCACGACTTTTGAACTAGTCATACAAAATGGTTTCAAATCTATTGAAGTAACCTTGCAACCTATTTCTACTAGAGCATACTAAAGGAAGAATTGCTGGAAAATGTAAATTCATATTTGTACGAATGTATTGCAATATTTTGTGAAAATCACCTCAATTTATGATATGACTTACTTCATGACTGAGGTACGGTCATTATTTTGAAAGTATGTGATTATTTGTATTACTAACATTAATGTACAATATATAAAAGTTAAATGAATGGTTATTTTTAAAAATTCATTCTAGGATAGAAGATAATTTTATAGCTGACAACAATTCGATATATATATATATATATATATATATATATATATATATATATATATATATATATATATATATATGTATATATATATATCTAATTCTCTACAGACAAGTAATAAACAATCACCAATTACATTCGAAAAAAAACACAGAGACAGTAAATAGATCATACAATGAAGCACACTAGATTAAAAATAATAAAATGGATGCTGCAGTATTTTAAACATTGTTGACTTAGGATACCTAATATATAAATTTTTTAAAAGTGGTGTTGAACATGTTTTTTGGCCAGCCAACCTTCCCATTTTATATAAATAATACTGAGCAAAAACCTATTGAAAGTAATGGATAGGAATATCTAAATCCATTACAAAACATTGCGGTAACTTACATAAAAATTGCACTTGAAAAATTGCCCGCGCTAAATCTGAGTGCAATAAATATGTTATTGCCAGATTCTGGACCCTAATGCAGATTCAAAGCATGTGAATGGCTGGAATGTAGCACTTAAAAAAGTATAAAAAGAACAGAAACAAATATACATATAATATATATATATATATATATATGTATATATATATGTATATATATATATATGTATATATATATATATGTATATATATATGTATATATATATATATATGTATATATATATGTATATATATATATATATATGTATATATATATATATATATATATATATATATATATATATATATGTATATATATATGTATATATATATGTATATATATATATATATATATATATATATATATATATATATATATATATATATATATATATATATATATATATATATAT